TATGGGCTTGCACCCAGAATTTCTTTACTTTTTCACATGTATAATAAAAAGTCCCCTCTTCCTTTCCATTCTTTCAATACTATTTGGATAATACTTTATAAATTTTTACAGCTTAACTGTCATATACCAACATCACATCATTTTATTAAAAAAAATTCTCTTAGATTAAAACACAATATTATATTTGCTTCTCACATTTCCCCCCAGAAATCCATATTTATATAACTGAAATCTGCAGTCCCAAATTTCATCCTTGCTGTCTCTAGCTACAGTACTGAGCTGGATGGCTTGAGGCTCTAATTTGACAGTGTACCTTTCTATATTCATTTGGATTGGGGGAGAGATTTATAGTACATAGTTCATAGAGATAGAAAGGACCTCAGAGGTCTTCTACTCCAGTCCAATGCAGGAGACCTTATACCAGGGGTTCTCAAACATGGCAACTTTAAGACTTGTAGACTTCAACTCCCAGAATTCCTCAGCCAGCTTTGCTGGCTAAGGAATTCTGGGAGTTGAAGTCCATAAGTCTTAAAGTTGCCAAGGTTGAGAACCCCTGCCTTATACCATCCCAGTCAAATGGTTGTCCAATCTATTTAAGAAAATCTTCAGCAATGGAACATCCACAACTCTGGGAAGCAAGTTGTTCCACTAACTAATTATTCTCAGCGTTAGGAAATTTCTCCTTACTTCTAAGTTGGATCTTTCTTTAACAAGCTTCCACCCATTATTTCTTGTCCTGTGCTCTGGTGCTTTGGAGAATAAGTTGATCCACTCTGTGAAAACTCCTGAAGTACTCATGTCACCCTAAGCCTTCTCTTCAATAGGACAGACATATCTATCCTCCTTAACCATTAATCATATGATTTAGCCTCCAAACCCCCATCTTTGTTGCTCTTTTTTGCACATTTTCTAGGGCAGGGGTAGGCAACCTTGTATCTTTTATGACTCGTGGACTTCAACTCCCAGAATTCCTGAGCTAGCCATGCTGAGGAGAAAGGGAGAGGTTTCCAGGCTGAACCATGCTGGCTCAGGAATTCTGGGAGTTGAAGTCCACGAGTCATAAAAGAGCCAAGATTGCCTACCCCTGTTCTAGGGCATCAGTATCATTTTTGTGTCATGACAACCAGAGCTGGATACAGTATTCCAACTGTGGCCTCACTAGTGAGATATAAAGTGATATGATCACTTTTATTGATCTAGATGCCATCCTTCTGTTCATGCAGCCTAGGATTGTATTAGCTTTTTTTGATAGCTGCAATATGCTGCTGGGTCATAGGAAACCTAGATTCCTTTCACAGTTACTACTGTTGAGCCAGGTACTGCGTATTCTGTACCTGTGCATTTGGTTTTTTCTGCTTAAGTACTCAAATCTGTCAAGCGCCGCCTGAATCTTGAGTCTATCCTCCAAGCATTGGCCCCAAAACAGAACCTTCAGGTACTCCACTGTATGCTTCCTTCCACTGAGGATTACATGCTGAGTGCGTTTGGTCAACCAACTGCAAATCCATCTGGTGGTGCTATTGTCTATTCCACATTGTTCTGTCTTATCAAGTAGGCCGTGGTCTATTTTGTCAAAGACAAAGTTCAAGTATATTACGCCCACAGCATTTCCCTGATCCAGTAATTTAATCACTTTATCAAAGAAGGCAATAAGATTTGTATGGCATGATCTGTTTTGGACAAACCCATGCTGGCTTCTAGTCATCACCTTGTTTGTTTCTAGGTCTCACAAATGTGCCACTTGATTACCTTTTCCAAGATTTTCCCAGGTATTGATGTCAAGCTGATTGGCCTATCATTTCTTTGATCTATATTTCCCCCTTTTGAAGATTACAACCACATCAGTTCTTTTCCAGATTTCTGGTAGTTCCCCTGTGCTACAGGACCCTACATTTAGTGACTCCAAGACTACGTCTGCCAGCTCCTTCAGAGCCTTGGGATGTAAACCATCTGGTCCAGGTGATTTGTACTTGTCCGAGATGGATAGGTATTCTGTTACTAATTCCTTACCTATTTTGAATTACATTCTTATTCTATCTCTCTTGGTGCAACAGTTATAACAATTTGTTTCCACTCCAAATCTTGAGAGGGATTCTTGCACCTAATTCCAATCTTCCAAACCTTCTTTCCAAACAAATACTCTCTATAATATCGGCTGTAGAGTTGATCTTAGATAAAATTTAATGAATTGAAATATATTCATTTCATCAAACCCAAGATAGTTTTCATACAATATGTAGCATTGGCAGAGTCCAAATAACTGTACATAATTATTTGTAGTGATTTATTTTATTTATAAATTATATTTTGCATCTTTTAGGCAACTTGTATGCCAGGGGTGTCAAACTGCTGGCCCATGGGCTGGACGCATCACGAGGAAACGGCGCCCACCCCATTGCCAGCAATGGGGAAAAAGCTCTGATATGTCGCGAGACATCACGTGACGTTGCAAGTTTGACATGTCTGCTGTATCCAGTAAAAATATTAGCACATAAATAAAATTCAATGGATATAAAGTCAAAATAATGACAATAGTTACAACAAAAGACCATGCAATTTAATCACACACTGTCGAAATCAGTAGCCTTCCTTCACTCCTTGCTAAATTTACATAGAAGGGAATCCTATGCAATCAATGTGACTGACTTCCAAATAAACATTCATTTAATTCATACTTTACGTTCAAGTGTGAGATTATATTTGACTGGTTTTAACAAGAACTAAAGTTTTATTGATGTAAATGAATCTAAACTCCACCTAAATATGTTTATCTTGCAACTTAAGTGGTCCAAGACACGCTCAGTTTTCATAAGGATTATGTCTGCCAAACATCTGTGACTGAAGCATTATCTATTACTGCAGCTATAAAACAATCCAAAATGCAACGCTAAAATTAAATCTGGATACCTTGTGCAAAAGCAATTCTTTTATTTGCCCCTGGAGGTCACTATGGCAGTTTAAAACTCCTGCAGCATAAAATGCAATTCTAGAAGTCTTCTCTCTTCTCCCGACTCTCCAGAATTTGTACAAGAGGGTTCTCCTCTCACAGGGTCTCTGGAGCCTCAGAAATTTGCACGAAAATGCTTGCACAATTTTCTCAGAGGCTGCGTGAGACCAAGGTTTTCATGTGAGGATCCAGAGGCCTGGCTAATCACCAAAAATGGCAGGTCATGTCATCTGTGACACACTTGTCATAGGTTTGCTATCACTGGAACAGAAAGGTAGCCTTGAAGAAAATATGAACAGATGATACCAGAATATCAGCTTAGCCCTGAAAAGGAGAAGAGACAAATTTGGATCCTCTTGAGAAGTATCTCTTAAACTTTTTTTCCCCCTCGGGAACCTCTTTCCACTTTTTAAAATTATGGAGGCCCCCAAAAGAACTTTTGTTTGTATGGGTTATATTTATCAATATTTATTGCATTTAAAATTTGAAAAATGACACATTTGCTGCAACTACTGCTTTTCACAATGGCTTGATGGTAAGGTGACCAACTTTTTTACAATGAGAAGGAGGACACAAATAAATTGAAGAAAAAAAAGTGAGTCTAATGCATGCGTATGTGCTGTGTCGTGTTTCGGTAAGAAGTAAACAAAGCCACTTGCATGCGGCACACTCTTGCACGTGGCGCACTCTCTGAAAACAATTCTCCTGTGCGGAGTGCATGCGTCTCATAATTGCATCTCGCTGCACTGTACCGATCCTTGACGAATCGTCATGTCAAATACAAATACATCACATCAAACGCAATGGATCGCATCAGCATCGATCGAATACGAAGATTTACGGATTAGTCTTCAAATATCGAAAAGGAGGACATGTAGGAGGACACTTTTTGAGAGAGGACAGAACTTACAAAAGGAGGACTGTCCTCCCTAAAGGAGGACAGTTGGTCACCTTACTTGATGGGATTTTAATACTGTATTATTTGTCAGCTGACAAATATTTCTGATTCTTGGAGACTTCTGAGAGGGTCATGGGGGTTACAGTTTGAGAAATACTGTTCTTGGGTATTAGAGGGAGAAAAAGAAAGCTCCTATCAGATTCAAGATTGAGTGTTACACCCAGACCAAGAGAGTTCCAGTATTTCCAATGTAATATGTTTTCTAATCCAGTCCAAGTTGAAGGGCTAATAGACAGGATTCCTCAAAGCAAACACCACTAAGTGGCATAGAATTCTGGTTCTGAGACATTTCAAGTCTCATTTAGCATCGGTGGCAATAACCAAAAGAATCATATCTGATTAAACCAGGTTTTTGCAGAGCACCTGTGAAGCATTCTCAGTTTTGACTGTTGACACGCCGGTTTCTGGTCCCTTGACTTTCCTAGTTCTCCTTCTCTAAACATCTTCCATTGCCGTGAACAGTTCTTCAAGGGCGGTGCCCCCAAACAGTCCTAAAAGGAAGGCTTTAGTTCTTATTTGCATAAATGCACGTGGGTGAGTATATGCATAATTTATTTTATTTTTTGTCATGTTTATGCCGTGTGTATTGGTGGTTACCCTTTGAGAGCTGTATGCAATGAAATCTCATTTTAATGTATGTTGATTAGTCTACATTTAAAGTGACACTAAAGTTATCATACCATTCCATTCTATTCCAGGGGTCCTCCAATTTGGCCACTTTAAGACTTGTGGACTTCAACTCCCAGAATTCCCCAGCCAGCCATGGTGGCTGGGGAATTCTGGGAGTTGAAGTCCACAAGTCTTAAAGTGGCCAAATTGGAGGACCTCTATTCTATTCTATTCTATTCTATTCTATTCTATTCTATTCTATCTAAATCTACTTTAATCTATGCAGGGGTTCTCAACCTTGGCAACTTTAAGACTTGTGGACTTCAACTCCCAGAATTCCTCAGCCAGCAAGCTGGCTGAGGAATTCTGGGAGTTGAAGTCCACAAGTCTTAAAGTTGCCAAGGTTGAGAACCCCTGGTCTATAATCTACCGTTTGATTGATCACCACCATCCTGCCAACAAGCTCGACTTCTGCCCGTCCTGCAGATCCTGGGCCAAAAGAGGGCGCTCTGTGACCAGCATCCCCAGAAAAGTTAAAGCGCCAACTGGGAACCCGCCTCTTTTCGCCGACAGGGAGCTCTTCGGCGGTTTGGGCGCTCCTGAACGCTCCCCTGCGGACACTCCCCGTCCTGTTCCACCTCTTCAGACACACCTCTCTGCCTCCGCGCTCCCCCTCCTCACCAGCGCCGCCGCCGCCGCCCTCGTTTCCCATGCAGGTTGGGCTGCCCAGGCAGGCAACTGGCTGCGCCGAGTCTTGGTCTTTTCGGGCACGGCTGTCGCGACCCATCTGCGGTCTCCATAGAGACTTTGAGCAACCAGAGCCTTTCAGGTTTGGTGACAATACATGAAAGGGCAGAAGGAGAGGAGGAGCCGGAGGGAGAGCGAGAGGCGAAGAAAAGCAGCCGCAGGAAAAGCCAGCTTCGCGCCGGGCAAACTTTCCTTTCCTAGGCGAGGCGCTCCGTGCGCTCTCGGATCACCCCGACTCGCTAAAAGGCCAACTTTCTCAGCACTCCGAAACGCCGATTGAGAACCGAGGTTCTGAGAAGCGCCGGCCTGGAAACAAACCCTCGCGGGAAAGCGGCGCTTCTTGCTGAAGGCGAGCCGTAACTCTGAGCCGGAGAAAGAAGAGACGCGCGCGCCGGTCCTTTGGTTGGGGAAAGCAGAGAGAGAGAGAGAGAGAAGCGCGTCTCAGCGGAGGTTACTGGAGCTGCGCCACCCCGGATCTCTCTTCCCTGCCGTCGGGCTTCGGGGCATCTAACTTCGGAGCCTTGGGCAGATCCGCCACGCGTTCGCAGCTCTAAGTGGCGACGTTGCCGTCCAGGGTGAGCCTCGGCAACGACGCGGCGGCGGGATTTCTGGGGGGCCCCCGATTGGGTGGCGAGGAGCCATTTTGAGCGCCGTTGCGACGAACCTCGACGCAGCATCTGCCGCCAACTTTTGAAGGTGGGCGAAAAGTTCGGTCTCCCCGCGCCGGAGGGGAGCCTCCCCCCTTTCCAGGCTTCCCCGGCTGCTGATGGACGAGGCCGGATGAGCAGCTCAGGGGGGTGGATGGATTTTGGAGCCCTTTGGCCGTCCTCCCTGCTTCCCAAGCCTCGGAGATGCGCCGTTTGCCGGGGGCCGCCTGGCTGCCGTGGATCTCGCTGCTGGCGCTCGCGACGGCGGGCTGGGAGCTGCATCTCCTTTGCGGGGACGGCGGCGGCGGCAACCCGGGCCGCTTGCTCTTGGACCTGTCGCTGGGGCCGGAGTGGCTCTGCGCTCTCGACGAGACTCGGACGCCCCGTCAGTTGAGGGACGCCGTGGAAGCGACGAGCGAGGGGCTGCTGCGGACGACGGCGGCGCCGGTGGAGTGCGCGGGCTTGAGAAGAAATCCGCTGCCCCTCCATTTGCGCCTGGCTTCTCCGGCCGGCGGCGTCCTGCTCTCGCTCCGCCTGCCTGTTTACCTGCACGGCCGGGGCTCCCCTGGCCGATCCCCCCACGTTGCCACCCTGCCTCGCCTGGCCATTTTCCCAGCTCTTCCCCTCAGGCAGCGTTTGGCTTCTCTGCTGTGCTTCTTCCCTCCCTCTAGGCAGCAGGTGCTTCCCAAAGTGGGGGAGACAAAGGCAGGACCCCTGCTCTGGGCTCTGGTGACCCTGACAAGTTTCCCACGGTGTATCTGCCCCAACGGTCAGCCTTTGGGGCAAGTTGGGCAGAAACCACTAGACTGCCATCTTCCCCAAGGGAGCTGCCCCCTGCAGCTCCTTTGTCACTTGAAGAGGACCCAACAGAGTGTTCTGATAGAGCTGGGGAAGCCTAGGCATTGGGGAGTGAAACAGCCATTCGGGGATAAACTAGAGGTGAGTAGAAGCAGGCAAGAGGTCTCCCCACAATTGGAGACCCGGAGTGGTAGCAGTTGGGATTCTGGACCTCGAGGACCTCGGAGGATGAGGAGTGTGAATAGCCCACCTCAGTTCAAATTGCCCAATTACCAAGTTTCAATTGCTGAGAACCAGCCTGCAGATACAGCGGTCATCACCCTAGAAGCCCATGACCCAGATGAAGGGGAGGCAGGCCGCTTAACCTATTCGATGGAGGCCTTTTTTGACAAAAGATCCAACGATTACTTCTCTGTTGATTCTAAGACCGGAGCAATAGTTACCACCCGTAAGCTGGATCGAGAGACAAAAGATACCCACGTGCTTCAGGTAACTGCAACGGATCATGGGTCTCCACGGCATCGCTCAGCAGTCACCTTCCTGACTGTGACTGTAAGTGACACCAATGACCATGATCCTGTGTTTGAACAGCCAGAATATCGAGAGACCATTAGAGAGAACCTGGAGGTAGGTTATGAGGTGCTAACAATTCGTGCCACAGACGAGGATGCTCCAGACAATGCTAATTTACTGTATCGTATCCTAGAACCAGGCTCTGCAGAAGGAATTTTTGAGATTGACCCATATTCTGGTGTTGTAAGAACTTCTGCCACTGTAGATAGAGAGGAAGTCTCAGAGTACCATCTTGTGGTCGAAGCCAATGACCAAGGGAAAGACCCCGGTCCACGAAGTGCCACAGTTACAGTACATATCACCGTGGAAGACGAGAATGACAATTCCCCACAATTCAGTGAAAAACGCTACTTGGTACAAATACCAGAGAATAGTCCAATCAACAGCCAGGTATTACAAGTAAAAGCCACCGACCGAGACCGTGGCAACAATGCCCAGGTCCATTATAGCATTGTCAGTGGCAACTTGAAAGGCCAATTTTATATCCATTCTTTCTCTGGCTCTATTGACTTGATCAATCCCCTGGACTATGAGACCATTCGAGAGTACACCCTCAGGATCAAGGCACAGGATGGAGGAAGGCCTCCACAGATCAATTCAAGCGGGATGGTGTCCATCCAAGTGTTAGATGTAAATGACAATGCCCCTATTTTTGTGAGCACCCCCTTTCAAGCCACAGTGCTAGAAAATGTCCCCATAGGATATTCAGTGTTACACATCCAGGCAGTAGATGCTGACGCCGGGGACAACGCTCGTTTGGAATACAAACTCTTTGAACTCTCCCATCTTCCTGCCTTGACATCCACAGATGGGAATACAGTGTTTCCATTCCAGATCAACAATAGCACAGGTTGGATTACAGTGTCAGCTGAGCTTGACCGAGAGACTACCGAGAATTACCACTTTGGGGTGGAGGCCAGAGATCAGGGAGTGCCTGTCATGTCTTCGTCTGCCAGTGTATCTATCACTGTCCTCGATGTCAATGATAACAGTCCTACTTTCACTGAAAAAGTATATCAGCTCAGGCTGAATGAGGATGCAACAGTAGGCAGCAGCGTCTTGACCTTGACTGCAATGGACAAAGATGTCAACAGTGTAGTAACCTACCAGATCACGAGTGGGAACACAAGGAATCGCTTTGCCATTACTAGTCAGAGTGGTGGTGGTCTGATTACTCTGGCCTTGCCTCTTGATTATAAGCAGGAAAGGCAGTATGTTTTGACTGTCACTGCTTCAGATGGAACTCTGTTTGATACAGTGCAAGTCTTCATCAATGTCACAGATGCCAATACACACCGACCAGTTTTCCAAAGTTCACACTATACCGTGAGTGTCAGTGAGGACAAGCCCATTGGAACATCCATTGTAACAATCAGCGCCACTGATGAAGATACTGGAGAGAACGCAAGAATTACTTACATCTTGGAAGACAACATCCCTCAGTTCCGCATTGATCCTGACACAGGAACCATCACTACCTTGATGGAATTAGACTATGAAGACCAAGCTTCTTACACGTTAGCCATCACAGCCCAGGACAATGGGATCCCCCAGAAATCTGATACCACCTATGTGGAGATCCTCATTCTAGATGCCAATGACAATGCTCCTCGTTTTCTTCGAGATCGGTATCTGGGCTCTGTTTTTGAAGATGTACCCCTGTCCCACAGCGTTTTGCAGGTGTCTGCTGTAGACCGTGACTCAGGTCCCAATGGCCGCCTTGTTTATACTTTCCAGGGCGGGGATGATGGTGATGGAGATTTTTACATTGAAGCCACATCAGGAGTGATACGGACATTGCGCAAGCTGGATCGTGAAAATGTGGCTGTCTACAGCTTGCGTGCTTTTGCTGTGGATAGGGGTAGCCCACCTCTCAAGGCATCTGTTGACATCCAGGTTACTGTATTGGATATCAATGATAACCCCCCTGTTTTTGAACAAGATGAATTTGACATCTTTATTGAAGAGAACAGTCCTGTTGGTTCAATTGTGGCCAGGATTAGTGCAGTTGATCCTGATGAAGGAACCAATGCACAGATCATGTATCAGATAGTAGAGGGGAATATTCCTGAGGTCTTCCAGCTTGACCTTCTTAATGGTGACCTTACAGCCCTGATGGATCTGGATTATGAGAGCCAGACAGAGTATGTAATTGTGGTACAAGCTACCTCAGCCCCACTTGTAAGCCGAGCTACTGTGCACATACGCCTCCTAGATCAAAATGACAACCCTCCTGTGTTGCATGACTTTCAGATTCTGTTTAACAATTATGTCACCAACAAATCTAATAGCTTTCCTTCTGGAGTGATTGGCAAGATCCCTGCCCATGATCCTGATATATCTGACCAACTTGACTATACCTTTGTCCAGGGCAATGAATTAAACCTGTTGGTTTTGGATTCTGTTACTGGAGAACTCAAGCTCAGCCGAGATTTGGACAACAACAGACCCCTTGAGGCCATAATGAAAGTATCAGTTTCTGGTAAGTGTATATCTTTTGGAGGGTATATCTTTTGTGATGTCAGATAATGGTAATTGCACTCCATTTATTTATTGGACTGACAACATAGGTAAGTGGGAACTTGATGCATTTTGATTTTTAATTTTCTGTGATGGCTGGGCAATTCTGGGAGTTAGTTCATGGTTCTTAAAGTTGCTGAGGTTGAGAAACACTGTTCTTTACTGATGTAATTTGGTAAGAAAGCTGAAAGCAGACAAGAAAAACTTCACATTTGTTGAACAAAGTCATGCTTTGTTTTGATACTCTTTAGGAAGATTTAGCCAGTCATATTTTGATCCACAGAAACTTGGATAATATAAGCTAAACCAAGGTATGTATTTCTGCTGGTGAGCTGTTGCCTATGTTTAAATTATTCTAATGTTGAACATATATTTTAAAAAAGCTAATTAGAAGTCAATAATAAGCTGGATCCTTTGAAGTCAGCTGTAGTTTTGGTTCCCATACCTTTAGAGCTTAATCCCAAGTATATTGGTACTAGCAGTATTAGGAAATTTGTCTTCGTTCAGATGAGTCCTAACTGCCTATATTCGATGATTCCTTATCATTATAATAAATATGTCTGTAGGAGCAAATGCTCAATAAATACCTTTCTTGTGAGACCACAAGGATGTATAATATATCCATCTAGAATATTTATATAATTTAATTATTTTACATGCTTAGCATTTTAAAACAAACCAGCAGCAGAAGACTTGGCAGAATTCCTGTCTTTTGTATATCCATTGTCATTTTTTTCCAGACACATTTTAGTAGGAGTAGAATACTTTTAAGGGCAAATTCCATAGCATCCTGTTTGATGATTAACATAATAGATTTTGCCTAGCCAAGATAAATCTAAATGCATTTACAGTATTAACAAGGATTAGTTTGATATTGTTGTTCCACGTACCCATTAATATGGTGCTCCAAAAATATGTAGAGCAATATTTTGGCTCTTAAGAGGTAATATTCTGGGGGATGTAGTTTTAATGGACAAAAGTTATGTATGTAAAAGCAGTTTTATAATCCCTCCTCTGAAATTAAAAGAGTTTAGGCTGAATTTTATCTTCTAATAAATTTATTTTGGCATGAATTTTCATAGGCAAGACTGACTCCATCCATTGTATTCGACTCTATGAAGAATTTAAAGAGTTAGAAAAGCAGTGTTTCTCAACCTTGACAATTTTAAGGCATGTGGACTTCAACTCCCAGAATTCCACAGCCAGCATTGCTGGCTGTGGAATTCTGGGAGTTGAAGTCCACATGCCTTAAAATTGTCAAGGTTGAGAAACACTGAGTTAGAGAGCTTAAAAACATTTTTGTTGAGTCTGACTAAACGGCTTTCTCTTGAATGCTATTTCATTACTGTATTACTTCGTAAGCAACTTTGAAAAATATTAAGAAATTAAGAATTGTAGAAACAATCTCATTAATTATGGTACATGTCTGGTTGCTGCCTGCAAGAATTAGTTGCACATCAGGTAGCTTGTTTTAAACAAAATTTATATTGGATCTTCTTGAGCCAGACAATTCATATGTGTTTAAATGTATCCAGGTTTTGTTTTCTAACATAAACTAATAAATTCTACTGGTGATTGGTACTCATCCTATGTTAAAATGACTTTAAAATATTCAAATCGTTTATGTGCTTCCTGGATAATCAATTTTACTATAGAGTTATATCTGAAAAACACATAAAGCATTTTGCAGGGGAATAATCTGCTCTTGCATTTGGACTGTCATTCAAACTGTGCCATTGATCTTTATAATTATAGCATCAGTGTGGCCAAGTCTAGCCTTTTGCAGTTTCATTCTTCTGTTTTTTTGCAAGCCTCCCAACCAGCTGCAGCTCTTGTTGACCTTTTGAGCCTCACTGTGAACTGTATCTTGTTAGGGATGCTTTTCACTCCCAATAGTCTTTTTGCTTTTGTGTGAAATGGCTTCAGCGTGTGTATTATATTTGGAAGGTGTTTTTCCTTGCCCCCCTTTGTGCTGAAATGTTACTCAAATTAGTCTGATTCTGTCAGCACTTAATTAGAATGTAGTGCCAAGAAGAGAAGTCAAGTCAGTGCAACAGTAGTGTGTTCTATCATGTTGACACAACTAGTGCTAACGCTCACTGTTAGGCATACCATAAATAATAATGCTCACTGTTAAAATCTCTTACTTTATTCAACTTATTCTTTATTTCATTAGATTTAGATGCCACTTAAAATTACTCTGGGTGGTTTACAATTTAAACAAAAGAAAAAATATTCCATATGCAATATGGAAAGAAAATCAACATCTGTGAAGACAATACACTAAGTATATTTGAGAAATGATTAAGATTTCATTCCGACCTTTACCAGTAATTAATTGTAATTAATGTACTCATTACTTCTGTGTTAGGTAGAGATTTCCAGAGATAATATTTGAGTTGACTTGATTATCTTAGCTGGTAGTGACTTGTTTTTGGATTATGCCTATGGTCATAATCAAGCTGAATCAACTGATAACAGTATAATAATATCTACTGTTGAAAGATAAAGGATATGTCATAAAACAAAGCTCAAAATGTACTACATGGGTTGATAAAGTTCAAGACAGAAGTTTGGATTTTCACTATAATAATTCTAGATTATTTCTAGAGTTCTCTGGGGAACTAAGCTGTGAATCTAAACAACCCCTTCATTCAGACTCAAATTAAAGCTCTTTCAAATATGATAATAACTGCCTTGTTTGAAGGAACAAAATGCAACACATAATTACTTGCTTTAGATACAAATGTGCCTACATCAAAATGTACATAAACTCATAAATGTACTAGCAACATATAGAACATGGAATGTCAGTCCTCGTCTGATGTCAGAAAAACCTTATTACCCTGTCATTTTGATCCAGTATCTTCAGAAATGATACTTTTTTAGCTGCTGGGCAAATTCAAAAGTTTGGTAGCTTGTTATGAGCATTACTTTAAAAAAAAAAAAGGCTACAATAGTGACTAATTAAGGAACAACAGTTTTCTGGAAGGTACCAGTAACATTCTACTGTTTGTACAGCTATGCGAAGCAGAGACATTTTTGAAAAAAGATGATTCTGAAAGGTGATATTAGTTGCATAGAATTCCCCTTCCTTCCTTCCTTCCTTCCTTCCTTCCTTCCTTCCTTCCTTCCTTCCTTCCTTCCTTCCTTCCTTCCTTCTTTCCTTCCTATTTTAAAAAAATAAGATTAACTATAGAAAACAAGGTAGGAACTCTGTACCTTTATCAAGTAATGGGTCACTGAGTGCGATTGTTTTCTTTTAAATCTTATCAGCAAAGTTATACACGGGGATATTTTGTATATGTTTGGAAATTTATAGTGATGTAAGTATTATTTTTACTGTAAATATATTACAGTGTATATTGATTTTATTGCTTCTATGCAATTTTAACTCTAGTTGGTTTTTACTTCTTAATTTTAAGAGCCGTGGTGGTACAGTGGTTAGAATGCAGTATTGCAGGCTAACTCACTGCTCACTCCAGAAGTTTGAATCTGACCGGCTCAAGGTTGAATCAGCCTTCCATCTTTTCGAGGTCGGTAAAATGAGGATCCAGATTGTTGGGGACAATATGCTGTCTCTGTAAACTGCTTACAGAGGGCTGTAAAGCATTGTGAAGCAGTATATAAATTTAAACGCTATTGCTATTAACAGCGGCTGGATCAAGCCCTGATCGTGGGGTGGCATGATCTGTAGTAGAATTTTGAAAGTGGTATTATAAGTGATAAAGAAAATGTTATGTTATCTACTTTATTTGACAGGTAATCTCTTTTTAATTAGAGTAATGCATGGAAAAAAGTATTATGTCTACTATTTGCAGCAGAAAAGTTTATATTACTGTAATAAACTCAAACTGAACTTTATGAATATGAATGAAAATTGATTAAATAGATATTTCAACATCATCCATAAAATAATATGACACAAATATAAATATAAGAGCTGTATTGTGTTTGCATACATGGGAGCTTATGTCAGATACAAATGTAGACATCAGTCAATCCAAAGAAGATTTTCAAAGCCCTATTTTACAATGGCTTCAGAACTGGGTGTCTTTTCTACTGGAACAGGTTTTCTGGAAGCACTTTTGCATTCAATCTATACTTTAAAAAGCCTGGTTTCTACGCAAATTAGTGATATTTGAATACTTAGTGAATTGCTCTCTGAATACCATTGTAATGTGAAACAACTTAGTTAAGTATATAAACTTTTCAGAAATGGATTAATATGTACTGAGATAAGACTTGATGCTTTCCTATTAGCCCTGATCATACACATGTGGATATCCCCCATGTGTATATATAATTGTACTGAATTTTTTCGTTATTGCTTTATTTAAGATCTTACAATTGCAGGTACTGTCTCATAGAGGTGCTGACTTTCGTTAGAATTATGCAGAGTAAGCTATTCTTTTTTTTACCGATGTTTCTACCTACTTTTGCAAAGGCTTATTTCAATATTTGGCTGTTACCTTTTTGCACAGGAAAGAAAGAGCTGCTTAGACATGAACTGTCTTAGTAGCCTCCTCTCTGTCGCTAGGGAATTAAATTCCATTAACGTAAAATGTTGCTATCGTGATATCCCTTTAGGTCAGACAATTATCTGATTGTCCTTTTCTATTGAAAAAGGATATAATTTATTCTGATTATGAATCATTTGTTTTAATATGATTGTTAGATAACATTGTCCTCCATACAGAAAGAAGCACTCATTTATCATCTGCCATATACAGTACTAAATATAGTAAGAAATAAATATTTAATGAATTCTGAAATGTAATGGGGTTCAGTGTCTGTAATGTGTTAGTTTAAGGATAATTTGAATTACAGAGTGACTTGGCATACGGCATCAATTCTGTGATCTTGGATTTATGAGAACTCTAGGAAACCACTGTTGCCTATATAAGAAAAGATTTTCTTAAATGAATTCTACTGGATTGAATTCCACTATGGAGAATTCTT